AATACAGGCGAGCCCGACTCTTAAGGACTTAGGCTTTTAAGCCCAATTATTCATTTTAGCTCCTTTTTTGAGGTCCAACAATTATGTAAAAAGCTCAAGGCAGGGCCTGAAAGTTCTGTTAAAAAAAATAAAAAAAATTAAAATTCACATAATATTTTAAAAATTGAACAACATATTTAGAAATCTAAACAATATACATTCATCAATTAAACCCCAAATCATCCTCATCATCAATTCCTATTATCTACAATAAAATGTTAGATCCCTCGGATGTAAGTGTACTTGTTGAAAATGGAGATGAAAATTTAATGTCAATTACCTTTACAACTTTTTTCATCACCTACAATAATATTAATCGAATTATGTCATTATTAATCAAATATATGTATGTATGTGTATATATACATATATAATAATCAGGCTTATCAGGACTTGGAGGGTCACCCGGACCCGAGCCTTTTTTCACAAGACTTATCAAGGTCAGGATCTGAAGCCTAGTTCTTTTGAAAAAAAATAATTTTTAAAGCTCGAACTCTTATTTAAATATGATCCACAAGCTTGCCTTATTTTCGACTCTAATTTTTAGAAGTGAAAATGAGAAAAAAGAAGGCAAAAAACTCTAAGTTTCGTATCTGCCCATGTTCATCCCGTCTTTGCTCGTGTTTGCCTGAAACTAGAAAAAAGGATGTGTCGCTTCTACGTCCTGAACGCGCATCCGTGTCTGATACGTATTCAACACGAACATGTCAGGAATTTGCATGTATTCATGCTTCAAAGGTGGACATGAGATGATGGTGACATTGTTTTGCATCTTTATGGCCGACAGCAACATCTAGAAGTATTGCAAGAGGATTAGAATTAGCCTATTAATGATGAAGAGACATGAGAAAATAATAGGATGATAAGTGAATGACTCTTAACATTGAAAAGTAGAATTAACCTATAGTTGAGTTAGACTCGTCTTCAATGCTTATCACACTTATGAGATTTGGATCATAAAGATTTTGATCTAAATGGTTTAGATATAAAGTGTTATTTTATATTTATCATCAATCTGATCTAAATTTAATTTAGAGAGTCTAATTTAATATTAAAATTGTCATAATTCTTATATATTGACTATTTAAATGAATTCTGTACGATCCAAATTTATATTAAATATTTTATAATTTTTATTTTGATAAATATAATATTAAAAATTAAATATATAAAAGTAATTTTTTAAATATTACAAGTTAAAATTTTAAATCTAAACTGTATAAAGTACATTTGGTTGCCAATATATAAAAATTATAATATCAAATTAGATCCTTTAAATTAAATTTAGACCACGTTAAGAATAAAAAATTCATTAATTTTTTGCCGATTTATAATTTTTTATTTAATAAATATAAAATAATATGTTAAATCTAGACTATTTATATAAAAATATAAATAGTTCATATCTCATCAAAATGATGAGCACAAAGGTGATCATGGGTGATTAAAAAAAAAAGGTGATCATTAGTATTATGAGCATTGAAGATGAATCCAATTAAGTATGTGTTTGGTTTTCAATTTGTCAAAAGTCAGTTTAATAAAAGTTCATTTAACAAAAGTCAGTTTAATGAAAGTTATTATTGTAATGAAATTTATATTTGAATATGTATTTTTAAAAGTCAGTTTAGCAAATTGAAAATTATTTGGATTAATAAAAATTTGTGCTTGTGAAATGTACTTTTAAATATTCAATTATCAAAAAGGACATTGATTTATGATAATTATAATTTTGACATATTTTATTGAAATTAAATGTTTTTCATTAAGAATTGTATTTTCTTGACCCATTTTATTACTGGACAATTTTTATCCTTATTTTTAAAATTAGTTGGTTCACTTGCATTAGATTTATTTATTAACTTTAATTACTTTGTGTTTTTAAGAAATTGGAGGGCCAAGTTGGTAATTTATTCATTTTTATTTTAAATTATATTTTGACTTTTCAAAGGCAGATCATCTGGCACGCACGAAGGAAAAAGGAAAAGAAAAGAAGAGAATGCAAACGAGGGGAGATCAGCATCGTGCACGAAGATCGCTCTTCACCACTTTCTCTCGATCAAGGCTTGGTCGCACGAGTTCGTCGAGGAGGATCTGTCATAGCCACCTGAGTTTAGCGAGGCAGCAATAGTCCACTGCGATGAGCTTTTCTGGAATGGTGGAGATGGAGTGACAAAACACGAGCTCGCTCACGGCAAGAATGAAAAAAACAATGGAGGGTATCATCGTCAAATATAATGCTCAAATCTACATTCACGTTTGAAAAGTAACCTCCTGGAGCTTTTGAAAATTCACATTCAGCCCATCTCCAAATGTGCTTATTCAATATGCTTTTGTTTAAAAAAAATTCTCCCAAACAACATTTTACATCTCAAAAGTTAAAAAGTTCTTTTGGGTGTATTCTTTTGGGATGTAAAATGTAGTTTTTTTAAATAGTCCTTAAGTTTATAATGACCAATGACTTTTTAAAAAAATTCAAGAGACAAAAAGGACACCTAACTAAAAAGTAAATCAATTAGACAATTTTGTTCGTATTGCTCAATTTTAAAGCATCACAAATGTGGCTTTTATAAAATTTTACATTTCAAGTTTTTTTTCCCAACAAATTTTACATCCCAAATGAATCATATACTGGAGCTTCGACTAATGATTAAACTGCTCTATGGGTTTGAATCAAATATAAAAATCTGATCCCACGGCTTTCATAGGAATAAAAATTAAGGGGCATATTGGCATAAACCAGGCAAGCCAGGTGCAAAATTTCGACTTCTTTGGGTGAATTTCAATTATAGGTTTTAAGCTTGTATTATTATTGTTATTAATTTTCTCCAATTGAAGGCCATAATTGGTTGACCATAAATCTAGCAGCATTGCTGCTTATCCTCACAGAACAACTATTATACAATTAAATTTTCTTTGATGATTACCATCCGATCAGCCATAACCCCGCCAAATATTTAGGCTCACAACATGTTACCAACTTGTATTCACAGAAACAAAATCCAAATTGAGACGAGAGGGCACTGTACAAGAAAATGACCCAAAAAAGAAGGGAATATAATGAATCTCAGATCACCTTCACCAGCTTTTCCGATGGCCGTGCCTTCCCGGAGACTCGGCCCTCGGTCTCGGAGATCCCAACTCATCACTCTCCACCTTCTTCTCACTCATCCCTCTCACGTGCTCTTTCTTCTTCGCTGACTTTCTTAATTTCGAGCTCTCCTTCAACGTCGGCACAATATACCACAAAATACATGTACACAGAGTTGCGGCAGATCGTCCGAACACAATCAAGAACACTAGAATCAATATCATCACCACTGGCAGATACTCCGACGGTCGTCTCCACATATTCCAAGGGTCCCTCGTTTTCTCCGCCTTTCTGCTATCAGATTCCGCATTGGAACGCCGTCTAGATTCTTCCGCACCACAAGATTCAATCGCCGGCTTATTATTTTCGTTTGGCTCTGAAATTACAGGCGCGGGTCTTGCTTTCAGCTCCTCACTCTTGTGCTTCCGCGGGTCCTTGTTCTTCGTTTTGACCACCACGGGGACGAAATCGGCTGTTTCGGTGTAGACGAAGCGAACGAAAGAGATATCATGAGGGTCCGCCTGCGAGTAAATCTTCTGCCTCCTCTCATCCAGATCAGCTAGGAGTGCAGAAAACTTATCCAGCCCACGCGTCGAGTAAGGATTGTTGTTCTTGCTTGACTTGCCATGTTTTTTGCCTCTTTTAGATTTTGCAGTGGACGAATCAGAGCTTCTGGGACATGCTTCATCTTCTTCCTCGTGATGAAACGCACCACACTTGAATGTTTTGAGCATTAGGGAAATTTTGGGGTTTTGGTTAGACAAGTGGTAGATTGAATTGAAACAGAGGATGAAAGAGGAAAGAGTGTATATATATGTTCGAAGATGCAAAGGGAGGACTGAATCAAACCAGAAGCGGCCTCGCACGTCAATTCAAAAGGCTTAAAATTAAATGGGATGTGCAAGTTCGTGACGTGGTGAAATTTTGTTGATCTTTGACTTCTTGGAGAGGAGGAAACAGGAAACCATAGTCTGTTTAGTTTATTCCTTCGAAGAAATTGAGTTGGGGATTACAAAATAAACATGTTACTGTTGCTTGAGGAGAAAGATGTTGACTCTTTCATGTCTGTCTATATTCTATAACAATACGGTGATTTCTTCTCTATACATAATGTAATGTGTGTAAGGTGCAGTGATTTTCACAGTGATTGCGTTATAAAAATAAAACAAATATATTCGCAATCTTTTAATTTTACCTTCACATTTCATTTTATTTAAATTCATCTTGTCTCCTTAACATTAATTATACTTAACGGGATATTTAAATTTAAATCTCATTAAGTGCAGGTAAAAAGACAAAACCAAAATTCAACAAAAAGTGCCTTTTTATTTCAATATGGCAAGTGGTAATGTATATTTTAATTGTTGCTAATTTCACTTTGAATTTCAATTTAAGAATACAGGAAACAAAAATTTAAATGAAATTATAGTACAAGAAAAGAATTGATACATAATATTTTTTAAGAAGATAGTATTCTTAAATTTATTTTCCGTTAAAATAAAATTTTTAATTATCTTTATTATTTTATGAAAAAAAGGGGAGGAAATTAGCTTAATGGCTTCAAAAAAAACAGCTCCCATGAATTAAGAATGAGATTCTTAAATATTTTAGAATATGGCTCATTCATAAAATCAATTATATGTATTTTTTTATTTTCAGATTAAATTTATTATTAAAATATAATATATCTATTATAAATAATTATTAACTGACTAAATTTTTGCTTTTTTTCTCTCTAAATCATTTCTTTTTTTCTTTAAATATAAAATTTATAGTACCTTTCTTTATCGTAAAACTTTTCTTCTCAGTCCCTCTCTATTTTTCCCAACAACATTATGAAGAGAACACTAGACATTGAAGAGAAATCTTCATTTCTAGAAGGAGAAGACTAGGCTAAAATTTATTATCTATCATCAGATTTTTAACATTTTCACATTCTCGGTGACATCAATTTTTTTGCGAATTGTGCTTAATTCATTATGTATTTTTTATGTTGTTGATCTGCGATACTACATCATTGATATACATATGTATATCACTAATAAATAAGTTTATGTCTGACTGTCTAATTATATTAATCAATGATATTATATCAGTGATATATAGAAGTATATCAACGATATAGTATAGCAAAACATGAAAAATACATAATTATTTACCTAAAATGGATTAAACATAGTGCACAAAAAAGTGTAGACCCTTTGTTTATCACAAAGAATCAAATATTTAAATTAATAAAATAAAAAATTATGAATATGTTGCTCCATTTTCTCACTGACGTGCTCTGTTTCTTCGAGTACCATTGATATATCTCACCTTGCGTTTGTCTCTTACGATTGTGACTATGGCTCGCTCACACTGCTCTACTATCGCGCATTTGTCTACCTTACACCCAGTTCCATATTCTCTGTCGCATTCATCTCTAAAATATGCTATTTTAGACTATATATCTCGCATTCATTGCATTTAATCCCAAAAATTTCTTGCATTTTGAATCTTCTAGTATATGCAAAAAGCAGATATTAAAAGGGTTGTTTTGTAAATTAATTATAAATTAAATATTAAAAAATTTATTTTTGAAATTTAAGAAAGATAAGTTATTTGTTTTACTTGATTTTATGATATTAGCTATGTGTGCAAAAGCCTAAAAAAAAAGTCATAATTTTTTCTTAGAAGGTACTATCAGCTTAACCGTTTTTTGCTTGACACTGAAATTATATTAATTTTATATTGTAGAAAAATAATAATTGTTTATTTGTTTTGTCAAATTGTTAGTTAATTCTTTCTTTCTGGCCGAAGTTAATTCTTTCAATACTAAGTCAAATGTCATATGAGGAAATATTTCTTTAAAAAAATAATAACGATAAAATTTTTTAAGAAAATAATAAAGATAAATTAATTTGAGGTAAAGGGGCATTACAGAATAAAAGATAAATTTTGCTGTAGCTTACCGAAATTATTAGCGAGTAAATAAACATGATCGAGAAGGACGCTGGCTGAGATTAAACGGCACGTGCAACACTACAAGAGCAGTTGGGCAACGAAAAAAAATGTGGGACCTATTTTTTGTTACAGTAATAACTAATAACAATGACCCAGCATCTATCCATTCACTGATGTAACCATCAATTTATTTGGTTTCAAAGTCTGAATTCTTATCAGTTTGTTTCTGAGACAGACTTTTTTATATATTTCATAGTGTATATAGTCGTATTTATTTCTTAGAAAATTCATATTTTCAAGAGTCTCTTAATATTTTTGCAGTACACGATTAGTATTTTGTAATGTAACCAGCTGATTGAAAGTTTAAAATATGGGATACTTTCAAACTGATGTGATCTACATTTTTAAATATCCCATAATGCGCATAATTAACATCTGATTATTCATAGAAATTATTCGACAGTTTGCAATTGAAATTTTTTGTTATCAATAGATACAAACAAAAAAACTAGACGCACGCTGCTGCGCATTGTTCTCATCTTTCCGTTTTTTAATTTAATTATTTAAAATAAATACCTGCAGCCAATGCTGCACTCTGATTGCGAGTCCTACAAGGTCATCGTCAATACCGTCATTGATGTTGCCGTGTTGGTAATTATACAATAATCCGATTTACAATATCCTTCCTTCATTTTAAATTATAAAATAAAATAAAAAAAATTACATATATTAATAAATTATAATAACGATACATTATAAATTTATTTTTTAAAATAAAATTATAAATTTTTTAAAAACATCTTTATATATTTAATCATTATGTTACAATATCATTTTAATTCTTTATCACTTGAAGGGTAATATTAATAAAACTTTTTTTTTAAATTATCTTATATTTTAATGTAATGATATATCTATAATTAACTTTATCTTATAATTTGAAATAGTAGGAGTATTAGTAAATTTCAAGTCTTGACGCATGATTAGAATAGGTTAGATTTATTAGAGTTGAATTCAAACTGAGTTTATTCAGGGCAATCTAAATAAACCAAACTTATAGATAAGCCTAGTACCAACCTTTTAATGCTAGCCCTGAATACTTAAATTGTAAAAAATATTTTTTATTTTTAAATAAATTTTAATTATTTGCTTTAAAATTAACTACTTTTATTTTATCAAAAATATAAGATATACTTTTTTATGATACTTAAAAACATAGAGGACTCAAAATTTTTTAAAGAAATTATGGTCTTAAAGTTTAAAAATCAAGATTAAAATATATTTTAAATAATATTTTTGAGATATTTTATGGGTTAAAAATGTTAAAAAATAATAATGAAATTATTTTTTATTTTTTGAGAAAATATCTATGCTAATGTACTCAAATATATGATTTTTAAATTTATAATGAACTAATATTTAATATATTACATATTTTTTAAAAACTAATTTTTTGTTCTGACATTCAAGTTAAGTCCAAATTAGATCAGGCATGGTTTGAATTTTTTCAGCATTTAGACTGCTCTAAATAGGCTTGAACATTAAAAAATATATTTTACTAAGCTCGACCTGAACTTTTTTGGGTTTGTTCGAGCTTGGCTCAAATTATTAGCTCTATTCATGATGATATATGAGCTAAATCAAAGGTGCCTTATTTAACCTCATAAACCTTATTTTTTTCAATTAAATTACAAATATCAATATTTCATTATAGATTTTGCCTAAATTCACACGCAATTTAAATTACTTTTTTTGGTTAAAATGTATATTTTTTTTTAAATTTTGATATAGTTGTACATGACTTTTTCATCTTTGAACATTTAAAATTAACCTTCTAACCTTTCATTTTATTTTTTAAAAATCTCTACCATTAATTAACTATTATTTTATTAATATAGTTATTGTCATGTTAGATTAATGCAATATACACTGCACATGACATGAAAAAATATTTTTATTGCTTTTAACACAATTTAAGGAGGGGTGAAATTATAATTTTTACTTTTAACACACATGACAATGCTCTTATTTTTTTAGTTGAGAGATATTATTCTCATTATTTATAGATAATAAAATTTAAAAAAATTATAATTTTATAAATATTTATCAATTAAAACATTCTTTCAACTTTTAGATATTTTTATTTTCATTTATTTAATATAAAACGCTGTTTTAATTGATAAATAATAATAAAATTATAATTTTATCTTAAATTGTATTTGTGAACAATGAGAATAATGTCTTTCAACTAAAAAAAATGAGAACCATCATCATATGTATTAAAAGTGAAAATTACAATTTTGTCCCACCTTAAATTGTGTTAAAAATAATAAAAAATATTTTTTTTCATGTCATGTGTCATGTGTATTGCATTAATATGATATGGTAATAACTATATTAGTAAAATAACAGTAAATTAATGGCAATGGATTTTAAAAAACAAAATTAAAGATTGGGGTTTAACTTTAAATGTTAGAAGGTAAGACTACGAGGAATCATACATAATTGCTTCAAAGTTTATTAAAGTTTCGTTACAACTTAAACTACCCATAGATTAAAATCCACAACTCTAGAGCATGAGCATGGAATATTGAACTATTGAAGAAGTAAACAAGAACCAAAATTGACCTCTCAATAATTACTAAATGACTTGAAAACGAAAATAATTAGAGTAGGGTGAGTTTGGCATTCACTCAACGAAGGTATAAATAATAAATTGTGTGGACAGGAAATAAAGGCATGCAAAAAAATTTTGCAAACAAAATCTATAAGGGAAGATATTAAATATTGTCATGATGAAATATTTAAATAAAAAATTAGGTTAATGAGAAAAATAAATTCTAAAATACTGCCTGAAAAGCGCTTTCAATCCCGAACTTTTAAAATATATAAAATAAACTCTGAACTTTTAAATTTATAGTAAAATGAACCCTAACCGTTAA